TGTGTGGTGTCGCAAAGTGTGAACGCGATCTTACCATTTTTTTTCTTTCCATGAGCAATCTCATCACCTTTATTCCCCGACTCAGGTACATATACTTAGAGTACTCAAGTTTGCTCAAACATCTTTAAAAGCTCCAACTATTTTTACCTGTACGGGGTAGAAAAATCGACATGATGAACGACTTAGGACCAGAGCTGAGCTGTAGGAAGTGAGTGGCTTAGAGGGTTCTCAAACATCGAGGGAGTAGCGAAGAAGACGAAGACCTCCACCTCTTCGATTCCGCGGTCCTTCCTGCCCTAACTTACGCCTCGGAGACACGAAAGGAATGAAAGTCTTCGCACGTCGAGCTAGGGTGCTATGGGGCTACTGTGGTTTGCAACAGCGACGGATGGAAACGGAAAAGTTGCTGGCGCTCGCTCGAAAAGTTCTGGGGATACAGTTAAGGTGATGCCGTTCTACTAGGTGAACTGAGGCTTTTACATGGCAAGGAAACTCACCTTAATAAATGCAGGACAGTGAGCAGGCTTGCGTTTGCTGTGCGAGGGAATAGACGATTTCTCTCTGGGTTCTTCGATTCCTGACTCCTCGGCTCCTGACGAACCCTTTGTTTTTTTCCGGGCATATCTACAGAAGAAGAAATGCTGTTGGCCACCGGTTTTGCAAGGCATGGCATATCGCTTAGTGAAATTCATAAGTGAAGTACTCTCCAGATAATCTTTCCATTCCTGAAATCAAGTGTGTTAAAGTTCCACAAATTTCAGTGATCCAACAATGAGAGAAATATGGAGGTGCCGAGGCTACTTTGTGAGGGTAATTTTCCCAGCCAATTTTGGTCATTTCCAGGTACTGTAGGCGCTTTCTTTCTACTAGATCATCAGGGCAAAAGTAGTTGGGGGCAGGGCACATCATTGTTGAGGATTCTGGAACAGTGCATGTGAAACGGGAAAAGCCGCGAGAAATACGACCTTCCACTCTACCAATTCTCAGATTTTCCCCAACTTCCTGCCACTTTTTCCAAAATTTCCCGAAAACTTCCCTACTTTTTCCCAAAAATTTTGCTGTCGAGCGGGGAGGGGCATATATAGTACACATGAAACAGGAAAATCACGAAAAGTCAACCACCTCTCCCAGAAGGCCAAAAAGCAAATACGACCCCCCAACAACGAGCAAGTACGACCCCCCTTTTCAATTCCGTGAAGCGAGAAAAATCAACTATCAAAATAAATTTTTCAGCCCAAATACGACCCCCCTCTCCTGGCGACCAAATACGACCCCCCTATTGGGGATTCCCCAACAACGATGTGCCCTGGGTGAGGGGGAGGGCAAAGCGGAGACGCGACTTCGCCACGACACATTTTGTTTGGCCACGTTCTTATATGCTTTCGAAACGTAGACAGGCCACTTCACTGTTCGTAGGGAGGCCAGCTTAATACACTGACCTCACCGCATGCCCCCCTTCCCCCACCCCCACCCCGTCCGCAACTACTTTTGCCACTATTTTTATAGCTTCAGTGGAAGTACCTACCTCAAATGCAGCATAAGACTCGAATCGTCCGGTGATAATGGAGAAGTCTTGTGTAGCTGGCTCTGAAGTATGCGAATCACTGCAGTGTGCAGCTAACAGCAGATGTGTGGTAAATCTTTGACCACATTCCGGGCAGATAAGTTTCATTGAAGTCCCTTTAGGATGTTTTCTCTGAATCACATTGAATAATCAAAAGAATAGATGAGAAATACAAAGTACGGGGCAATTCGACGTGGGGGGGAGGGGATGGCATTTCGCACTTTTGCTACTTCCCATCGACGTGTCGAGTCATCTAGAGAGCTATTTCATGAGTTGACAAGAGTTGACAGGTTTTACCATTGGCTCGACGAGCTTGCAAAAACTTCACCAGAGTGAGACTTGTAAACCGAACTAATGAGGCAGCAAAAGTGCAAAGTGCCCCCCCCGTCGCCGAACTGCGCCCAAGGGGACTATTTGCATACCTGATTATGAATTTTCAACGAATGCAAAGTGCTGAAGAGCTTATTACAAATCTCACAACGATTGTTCCCGGTTTTGATCTGTATTCGTAATTTCTCCTTCTCAATTTGAGCCTTACTCCAGAAATGTGATCGGCGGTAATGGTCGTATAAGGGATTCAAGTATAATGGACCATGTCCGCAAACCACACAGTTTTCAGTTACCCGCATCTGAAAAAAAGGTATCATGAAGTAATTGTTCCCACTGTAATCAAGTGAAAGAAATTCGACGTTAGGGCCACGTTCATACTTCGCGACGGTAATAAGAGAATCAGAGAATAGGAAAGAGCAGGGGAAATACAAGTATCATCCTCGTGCTTTAGGTGGATAGGAGAATCGGAAATTGAGCAGTTTGGGAGAAAGCGCGCCATTGGGAAGGATGGGTATATTTCGACGACGGCAGCCAGCGTTTTCAAAAAAAAATAGGAGAAAAGAAAATAAGAAGAAAAGAGAAGAAAACAGCACCTTTGAGCGCACTCTCCTAAAACATCGCTTCCAAGATTCTCCTAGAACGCTAGATCGAAACCTATGCTTTCCTTAACGCGTATTCTCCTATTCTCCACTTCTCCAATTCTTGCACAGCAAAGTAAGAATGCGGCCTAAGGGTGCGTTCATACTTTGCGTCAGCACTCCGTTCAAAACGCTGGCGGCGCTCAAGTCGTTTTCGCTCAGAACGCTCAAAACACTGGCAGACACTCGAAACGCTGGGTCGATACTTATACTTCCTCAGTCGCTCAAAACGCTGACTGACGCTCAAAACCCTGCCGCAAAGTATGAACGCACCCCACTTGGGTGGGGATGCAACTCGCCCCCCCCCCTCCCTCTATGTCCAATACACCGATGCAGGTTTAGGCTTACAGCGCAGACGATCGGAGTCGCCATGTGAGTCTAGCAAAGGACACCCGTCTTATTTGAGAAGGGACATAGCGGCGGTCAAAAGACACTTCCCCAACCCAACCTGTGCTTGCCAATATTATATATTTATTTGTATAGCAGGATGTGACGAAATAACAACAGTCAAAGTAACTCGCTACAAGAGATCAGAAAACCGGGCGAGGTCGCGTTCTCTAACAAAGAAATGGAAGAACTGCGGAAATGGATGAAAAGGAATGTGTGCGTATTGATTTCAATTCTATTCTCCCAAAACGCGACATATTCTACTTCTACGCGGTCTCTCTCGCCGTTGTTTCTCCCAATCGCAATTGACCAGATTCTCTCTATACGCAGACATTTTTCCCGTGATCACACAAATTCTTTGCGTATAAACGCGGCCTGAAAAACATAGCACCAGGCTCATTAAAATCGATGCGGTTCGGACTCAATCGTTTGTTAGTGTTATTACTATGCGATACAAGCAAACAAGAACAGTGTAGTTGTGTAGAACTACGCGAAATTTTGTAAAACCTGTACTTGAAAGCAGCAACCGATGCGATGGACTGCGAAGCTGAATTTGGGTCTCTGCACGTATTTTATCGCGTTTGTTCCGCAATTGCAGGAATGCGCGCTTGGTTTTCACTTTTTGACAATTGTTTTTCCTTGCGTTAGTTTTTTCTTGAATTTGACTTTTTGTTCTAGCTTAAATACTTCTCACACTATCTTACAAGATAAGTTGCGAGTTGAAGTGTTGTATCGACTTTGCTCAAAAATAGTTCCCGCAGGCGACGCGATATTTTCCCTCTTTTTCTAGTTGCGATTTGTTGGAACGGCCATTTGTGGTGATGTTCGGCCACATGAAAGACATCTTGTGGAACTTGGAAACGCCATGCATGACCGATGAGATTCGAAGACGACCTGGAACGGTCATGGAAAATGAGGTAATTTGGAATTCCTTTCCTAGCATGCAACGAGCAGCGTTATCCTCTGTTTATACCTAATTCGCTGCGAACGAAGGGGCGTATCAGGCAGTACAAAACCGCCAAACCAGTTCTCTGTCAGTTGTTGAAGCGGGTATGCAACAACAGTTGGTAGAAAACGAGTGATACGAACAGTATGATACAGTCTTGTCACTTGCTCGCTTCAACAACTAGGTGGAGAACGGATTTGGCACCGTGCCAAACTCATCTCGCCTGACACACCCCCTCGTTCGCAGCGGACCAGACCGTATTTCGGTCAAAAAGAGCGCTTTTCCAATGTACCAGGGTATTTTGGTGCGAAGAAGGCGCTGCTGTAGTCGAGAAGGGACAATGCGGCCGTGCCTCGGTAACCTTTCCCAAATTCTCAGACGACTAGTGACGCCGAATGATAGTTCACCAAAGAAGATATTGTCTCCGCTAAGCCTGAATATTGATTAGGAGAAGGGATTCGGAAGCACTGACGAGTGGCTCCTCCCCCACCTCCCCCTCCCCCAAACTACGTTACTGTGGCGAATCACCGTGAAACCGCTACAAAAACATTCCACGTTGTCCCTTCTGTAACCTCGGCATGATGTTGAATGTTTAGTTACTTCTGCCAAACGAGGTTGTTAGATGAAACCTTTTATTGGCCTAACGTTTCGACCTTCTCGTCTTCTTCAGAGGCCTGAAAATGGCTCGAAGCTTTTAATTTGTTACCTACCCGACCAAACGCCCTCCCCACTCTAGCGTTTCCGACCTCGTTTCCCGAACGCTTCCCAACAACCCAGCAATGAGTGCTAACAACTCACCGAAAGGTCTCACCGTATGGAGCTTCGTTCATACTGTGTATCAAAG